TACACAAAAAATGAGGAATTTCAAATAGTTAATTTGATACTAATATCGATATATTTTTGTCAATTTTTTATGATATCGTCAAACATATATTTTATTCAAAAATAAAAACATCATCGCTTTCTCAAAATCACCTAATGCCATATTATAACCTATAATAAAAACATCATCGCTTTCTCAAAATCACCTAATGCCATATTATAACATCGAATGAGATAAATAATAAAATAAAATATTAAAATCACGATGTATCTCGCTGCATTGCGCGAGTACACTTCTAGTATGCATTAACATATTTACATTTTTTACATGTCTATTCGCATTATCATAACCGAAGCTTTTTTAATAAATTCATGTATATAAAAGTGACTGAATGCATATGAAGGTGGATGAAACTATGTGAATGCCTATATTTTCATTAAGGTTACACACCTGAATTAGGTCGGCCGGGTAGAAGCCATATGAACAACCCAATCCAATATTTACGGTTTGAAAATTTTCAACTCATCCCAACCCAAGAAAATTACAAACCAACCCAATAGAAACCGTATGGGTTAGGTCACGTTGGATGTATTGAAATTTTGGTACATCATTTTACAATCTAGCTAAGTGTGTGTTTCAACGAAATGATAACATACAAAAAGGGATAACGAACTCAATTTTTTTAAGGTTCATGCAGATAATAAAGTAAAAATTACGGTTGAAATTGTAATATAACCTTGAATATAACTAACTATAGATTGGTTTGATATCTAATGTATATATGTTAATTAAAGACTTAAGAATCGTATGAAATTCATAGTATAAAAAGACATCGAGTTTATTGGTTTGGATTGAGTTCAAATAACTCCAAGGGATCGTTTACCAAATGTTTCCTCAAGTAAGCGTTTACCAAATCACATTACATTATCGAATGAATATGGTAATGACCAATAATCTTACCCGATAAGAGCAAGACAATGACCAAGAGTTTTACCCAGTAAATAAGGGCAACGACTCTTACCATGGTAAGTGCTTACCGGATCAATTGTTGCATATGATGCCGTTTTGATGGACTAAATCTTACCTGGTAAGTAAATGATAGTGTTAATTTTTGCCGGTAAGCACTTATCGGGTAAGTGTTTGGTAAACGGCCCCTAACCCAGTTCTAACCCAATAGATATAGTTTGACTTAAGTATCAACTATATGTC